GCCTGCAGTGTTTGTATATAGAAAGCCACTTAGTTACTAAAGGAGTCACCTGTAACTTGAATGTTTCTCTCTTAGATCACTTTTACTATTATGTGGCTGTGTTATTTGCAAGAACAGTGTTTGCTGAAAATATTCTCAAGGATCTGCTATGATGCTCTATTTTTATCTTTCCTAGGATGATTGACCAGAACCATTGTTAAATGACAAATAGCTGTACAGAGCTTGCTAGTCAGAGGGGAGAAAGGCACCAAATGTATCTTTACATAAATTTGCTTAGGTTTTTAAAATAACAAAACAAAATCAGTCTTTACCACCTGAATATAAACCAACAGAGTCAGGAGGTGGTTCTTGTGGTTAAAGATAGACACTTAGTGAATACTGAGTTATATATTTTAGGGTAATAAAATACATTATATAGCTATACTCATATTACAATAGGTGAAATACATACAAATAGACAAAATAGGCACCCTCATTATGCTTAGAATACAAAATGGTACAGCCATGTTGGAAGAAAACTGTCAGTTCTTACAAAGATGAGAGTCTTATCTGTGACTGAGTAAGTGTAATCCTAGGTATTTTTATTCAGCTGTTCCAAGAGCTCATGTTCACATAAGAAATTTGCATGTAAATATTTATAGTAGAGTTATCCATGACTGTCCCAAACCAAAGATAATCAAAGTATCATCCAATAGTGAATGGATAAACACACTGTGGTATCTCTAAATAATAGAATATATTTGTGGTAGTTTGAAAGAAAATGGCCCCCAAAGGGAGTGGTACTATTAGGAGGTGTGGCTTTGTTGGAGTGGGTATGATCTTGTTGCATGAAGTGTGTCACTGTGGGAGTAGGCTTTGAGGCTTCCCAAATTCAGGATACCACCTAGTGTCACTGTCAGTTGACTTCCTGTTGCCTACAAGATGTAGCACTTTCAGCTCCTGCACGCTGCCATATTCCTCATCATGATGATAATGGACTGAACCCCTGAAACCGAGCGAGCCACCCCAATTAAATGTTTTCTTTATAAGAGTTGCTGCAGTCATGGTGTCACTTCACAGCAATAGAAAACCCTAAGACAATATTTAAAAATAGGAGCTACCAGGCCACAGAAAGATGCTTATTGCCAAGTGAAAGAAGCCAATCTGAAAAGTCTAAATACTACATGGTACTGACACATGACATTCTAGAGAGGGTACAACTAGAGAGATGAAAATGGTGAGGGGATCCCAAGGAGTTAGGGGGGAATGAATAGACATTAGATTACATGTGAGTGTCTACATCTCTCCTCACAGGCTCCCCTTTGTCACCATCCTCAACTTCCTTTCTCTTCTTGTGGTGAATGACTGTTAGGTTGGAATGGGGTAAATTCTGTTTTGATTTGCAGTGCAGGCCTCTCTCATGCAAGTCAAAGACTTTACTATTGAGACACAGGCCCAGTCAGGTGGTATGAACCTGAAAGGAAGGGACCTAGGAAGTTACTGTAATCTTAGAATTCATGAAATTGTGCCCAGCTGTAGTAAAAATAGTAATTAGTACAAGGATAACCAGTAGACTAATAGATCATGGTACGGAAATCAGAAAAGGACATGTGAAACATTTAATTTATAGTAGGTGTGACAATAATGAGCAATGGGCAAATGAAATCTCTTCCCCATAGAACACACACTCAAACACCATAAATCACCATGCGAAATAATACCACTAAATGATTCATGACTTTAAGAGGACCACAGAACAGAAATGAAAACAAGGTTAGTATCACATAAAAAGTAAAATTCAGCTTAACACATTCTTAAATATGAACATGTATAGTCCCAAATACATTAAAAAATATTTTAAAACTGAAGTAGTTAAAGGCCCCCATCTAAGAGAGCTACAATGAGAACAACCTAAGACAATAATTCTCAAGCTTAATATTTTGCTATATTTACTTCAAGATTAAAAACAAAACAAAACACAAATTGATGCTTCATTTGGAGGTCCCTCATTGTACCTAGCTTGCTTCTTTGTGAAGTTAGTTTCCCCCGAAGCAGATGCAAAACAAAGACTGAGTAAGCATGGTTGATCTGGGAGGGCACAGACAATGACAAGGAAGAGGGACCTGGGTCAGAAGAGAGGCAGCTACTCCTGTGAGCACTGCAGCTTGCTCTGTGGGGAGGCACTGGGAAATGATCTCAGTAATGAGAAATGGACCTGGGGTATGACACCCCATGCCCATTCCTTACTGCATTTCCAATCTATGTGAGGGAGCAAGGTCTTCAGCTGAGAGCAAACTCTTGAAAGATGATGGCTGCTGGAAATTAGGATGTGTGTACAAAAATGGCATGGGATACAAAGTGACATGGGTGGGACACTGAGAACATCTGCAACACATCCCTCAGATGTCTACCTTTCTAGAGTAGTTAAATGTCATCAGTCTCTATGATATCACATTGTTAATGCCATTGACAATGTTTATGGGAAAATGACTATATATGTAAACTGGTTTTACAATTATTATTTATAGTCAATGCAAAAACAAAGATGGGGTTAGAGAGATAGTTCAGCGGTTAAGATCCCACACTGCTCTGGAAGATCTGAGTTCAGTTCTGAGCAACCACATCACATGGCGCACAAACACTAACTCTCCAACTCCCCCTCTGGACTCTGGACAGCAGGTATACATATACACACATTCACACACATATACACACAAATACAAAAACATAAAAAGGAAGACACTTCAGTTTAAAGAGTTGTTTAACTAAAAAACAAAACAAAAACAAAAAACAAGTTGTATCATGACCTTAAGGGTTCCCCTTAAGAGAGATAACGGCAAAGAAATAAATCCCATTCCATGATGATTTATTTTTGTTTGGTTTCATACCTCCTTAGACTTTGACAAAGTATAATTTTCTCCCTCATCTATCCTCCTATCCCTCCCACTCTAAGCCTGCAGGCTGTTAGGCTTAAATTGTGGCTGATATATAGATTGCAGGTCTTGGCTAAGAATGTTATTTACCATCTAAAGTCTTTTCTTAGCTTCAATCCATTGGCCTTTCTGTTGAAAGGAAATGAGGTTTATGTATGTGGTAGGGTGGGGGTGAAATGGAATGGCACCACAGTGAGTCAAATCCCAACCCCAACCAACGACATGCCTGTCCATTAATGCAGGAGCTATTGAGCACAGCCATGAATGCTTGGTCTCTTTTGTCCCTTACTACCAAAAGACCTAGGAAGTCATAAAATGAAGCCACAAACCAATATGCTTCCTATTTCTTTTTCCAGGGACCAGAGGGATTTAAAATAATCTTTAAGTAATACTCCTCACAGACCCTAGCACTGTGTAAATACAGACTTCCTATTTAAGAACTAGAAAACAGAAAAATAGCCCCACAGATGAAAAGACCCAGTAGTCTAGTAGAAGCTTTCTAAAGAATCAGAACACACACATATAAAATGTACACTGTTAAATAAAATCCCTGAGCCAAATGTGGTAGTGCACACTTGTAGTCCTGGCTACTCTGGAAGATCATATCAACTCATGAGTTTCAGACCAGTAAGACCCTCTCTCAAAAATGACAACAACAACAACAACAAAATGAAATTTCACTTTGAGACTCAAAAAGATACCCAACAAATTTCATGTTTCAGATCAAAATTATTATAGATTTGAAAACCTAGGTATGATAGTTAGCTACAGAGTGGACTTTGATCAGAAATCATACAACTAAAAAATTAATGCTGTAAAATAATTGGTAAAAACTAACATTTAGGAGCTATATGAATCTAATATTTAAAATAGTAGTAGCTTGGGCTGAGGAAATGGCTTACTGTACAAGAATGAATACTGAAGTTTGAATCCTCAGAAACGCACGCAAATGCCCAGTAGGCATGGTGGCCCACCAGTAATTGAGCCTCTGAAGGCAGAGATAGGGCATCCTCAGAGCAAGATTAGCTATATCAGTGAGCTGTGGGTTTGATTGAGAGACCCTACCTTCAATGAATAAGGTGGGAAGAGTGTCTGAGGATGATTCCTGACATCAACCTTAGACTTCCACATGCACATACACACGTGTATGTAGCACACACACACACACACACACACACACGTATATAACACACACACAGAAAAAATAAGTAAAAGTAGTAATATTTCCACAAATTAATATCCTGTTTTCTACTTGATTTCATGTCCATAAAAGTTTTTATAAAAGCAGAGCTGGGAGATAGCTTAGTAAGTATACAGACCTGAGTTCAAGCTCCAGAACTGATATAAAGAAGCAGGGCACAGTGGTGTATGCTTATAATCCCAGCACTAGGGAAGTGAGACAGGAGGATCCTTCGGGGCTCATTGGCCAGCCAGTCTAGCCTACTTGGTGAGCTCTAGGTCAGTGAGACCCTCTCTCCAAAACTAAGGATGGCTCCTGTGGAACAACATCTGACCTCCACATGCACCCTTGCCTACATATATGTACCCACACAGACACACACCATTTATAAACTAAATAATAAAATGCACCATGTATAAGTACATGTATACAGTATGTTACAGTAGGAATAGATGTCACATAGAGCTATTGTTCTTATTTTTAAAAATGCTTTAGTTACTCTATCAGAAACTCTGAATCCAGAACAACTGCTCTTTTTGTGTGTGTGTGTGTGTGCACATGTGTGTGTGTACACATGTGGTTTTTAAAGGCAGGGTTTTTCTGTGTAATAGCCTTGGCTCTCCTGGCACTCACTTTGTAGACCTGGCTGGCCTCAAACTCCCAGAAATCTACTTCTGCCTCCAAAGTGCTGGGATTAAAAGGCTTGTGCCACCATACCTGGCACTGAACCACTGCTCTTAGGTTTAAAAAATATTTTACTTTATCAGAAACTTTGAATCCTCTTTTAGCAAACTATGCTTTGGTACAACACAAAATTGGTTTGGGGACATAGGGTCCCCAAAGCCACAGAGGTTGCCCATCAGCCTCTTGTCTACGAAACAGGAGTCTTATACTTGATGCACACTTACGTTGTACAGAGGGATAGTTTTCATCACTTTGTACTGCTTAGTGGGATCCATTTTATACAGGTGACGGTCAGTGACAAAAATTGCTCGGTCTTCTACCTTACTAAATCGATTCACCTGTAAGAAAACAAACAAATAAGCCACAGTATCTCATAAAAAAGGATCCAAGTTGCATTTAGAAATACCTAGGTTCAGAGGTGGCTGACCATGGAGATGAAATCTCAGAAGGTCACCATGGATGGCACTCTATAACTTCAAGGAATAGCAGTTTCCAGATGTGTAGCATTTGGCAATACAATTTTTTTATAGCTTAATAGGGAAAACACAGCAAATGTAGAAATTGGGGACTAGAAATATGAATTCTAGACCCCATCAAGGGAGTGAATAGAACTACCCACAGACAGGGAGAAAAGTTCCAGTGATATGAATGTAATTTAGCACAACTAAAGCAGACTTGTCATTGAAATGCCCCAAAGATTATTCTTCTATATGGACAGCCTAGAGTCTATAAACTTTGTTTCTTTTTCTATTGATAATTTAGTAAAGATGAATATATTCTTTAAGAAAAAAAAGGTTCAGTGAATCACCTGTCTGATAAGGGACGTGTATCTAGAACAAATAAAGAACTAATTTAACTCAGTAACTATCAGATAATCTAGTCGATACCATTTATGCCAGAAACCCTGGGCTATCATAAGGAGCTGAGATTAGTATTAGGGGATGAGAGCAATAAGCAATAAATGAAAATAAAAATATGAAGAAAACAAAATGATAGTATGAAAAAATATAATTGTGTTTCTGCAGAGCACTACTTTACCAGACAGATGGTCAGAGAATGACCTAACTTACAGATACTTTGTTTTCCTAAGAGATAAAATGAACCAAGGTACATTGCACAAATTGTGACTAGTTATTTGTTAAGATATTTCAGATAATATTTTAATCAAGTTACCTGGATTAACATTTAAAAACAGGTTTATTTATTCATATATTTATTTAATGTATGTGTGTGCCTATGTGAGTTTATATGCACCATGTAGATGCAGGTGCCCTTGAAGGTCAGAGGGTGTTGATCCTGTAGAACTGGAGTTATAGGTACTTGTAAGCTGAATGATATGGGTGTTAGGAACTGAGCCTGGATCCTTTTCAAGATCAGTATGTGCTCTTAACCTCTGAGCTCTCTCTCCAGCCCTGACATTTTTCTGAGCCTCTACAATAATGTCAAGTTTGTCACTGATTGAGAAAGGCAAGGAGACAAAAACCAAATGAGCCCAAGGAGCCTCTACCGTGATAGAAGGCATACTGTAATATACCATGTCCTTAATATATACATACTCAGCCAGGTGGTGATGGCACATGCCTTTAATCCCAGCACATGGGAGGCAGAAGTAGGCTGATCTCTAGGGCAGCCTGTTCTACAGAGTGAGTTACAGGGTTCAAAGCTACAAAGAGAAACCCTATCTTGGGAAAAAAAAACCCTAATGTATATATATCCTCTATATTCTTTGCACACCACCTCCATTCTTATTTCCAAGGTAACAGCAAAGAAATGGGTTAATTTGAAAACACTGCTTTGGTAGGATATTCAGATAGTTTCATTCAGGCATGGTAGGACAGTGCACTATGCATAGAATGTAGCAAACTAAAATCAAACTTGACATGGAAATTTACCTTATCCCCTTTGTGTTGGTTTTAACAATCAATCAATTCTTTAAACATTTATTCTATAATAAAAGCATATTTTTTAGTCTTCAACCTGACATCAAGTTGTGCTCATGACTAAAATAGAATCTACGTGATAAGCTTATAGTTTGTGTTCTTGGAGGCATAGCATCTGTTTTTGCCAGGACAGACAACTGGTACTTTCCAGAGGGTGGAGATCCACAGCACTTGCTTTATGCAGAAGTTTATGAAAGAAAGGGTTCCATGGTTGCTCTGACTGGATAAATACTGCAAACTTCAGCTCCCACTGTGATATCTATAGACTAGAAAGTTATCAAAGGTTATGAGAATTTTGCATTTAAGCAGTATGTTTAATCCAGCATTTCCACAGTACATTTAATCTATGTAATCCCAGTAAAACAAATACTTATTGATATTCAACAAAACACTGGTTAACCACTATGACAGCCAGTTTGGAGAACATTCATTATCATTTTCATCAACCTTATACTATGTATAACAGAGAACATCTAGCATAGAATCTGATTAAAAAGTAGAAATAATGCACCTCATCTTTTGTGGAATCGTATGGATAAACAAACAAATGAGGTACAAAAGAACATAATTTTAAAATCCTGTTACACAATCTCACAAGATAATTTGAGTTGAGACAAAAAGGGCCACATGTTCTTTTGATGATATATGAGTTAATCTAAAAACAAGGAAAAAACCCTCAGAGCAGAAATTGTACTGAAGCAGTTCAGAAATATTCTCTCCTATGAACAAATTGCCCTTTCTACAGAGACTAACAAATATTTACCTTCTGTTTCAGCAACTCAAATCATCTTAAAACACAGATCAGGTAAGTGCGAAAGACATCATGTCTAACAGCAAAAAAACCGCTGTAGATTGCTTAACGTGGCTCTATAGACACAGAAAGGAAAACATTCGACATACATAGGTGGATTCCTGCTTAACATCATTACAGTATGGGAACACTACTTTTCTTTCACATTTATTTTCTCAAAGTAATAGCAAAGTTGGATTGCAGACTCAGAATTAGGTAAGATTTCACCTTGCTTCTCCTACCCAAAGTTAAAATCCTCACCCCAGGAAAAAATCCCTAGCCTTCTGCTCTCCCTAAGCACTTCAAGGCAGCTGTTCAGTGGTTTCCTCAGGGGGTTGGAGATAAAGCTGCTCCAGAGTCAGAGCAGAGGAAGCAGAGTGGTGAGAGGAGCTATTTGCAGTAGTCTCTCACCTTAAAGAACACTTTTAATAACTGCCCTTAATGGAAAGCAGCTGCTTCAAAATAATCAAAGCACGAAGAGACAGGCTTTTTAGAAGCATATCAAGTTTGCCTTGGTGTACTTTGGGATTGAAAGATTCTACAGAGGACATTATCTGAACAAGCATGAAGAAGAGTGAACTTAGAAATACAGAACCATCAATAAGAATTCTTCAGTTTTTATTCATCAGTACCTAGAATGAAAATGTCAGGCATTAAACTGTTCTCCCTGGAATGAGAGGCATCGCACCAGTCTTTTTAAAAGATGGCTGAATTCTCAGAGTTCTGAGTCTCTTCAACTGCTCTGCTTGCCAGATACCATGATATCAGAAATGAGAGAGTCGTGGGTACAGGAACATTCCTGTGTTGTATTCACAATCAGGAAACATGACTGAAACTTTTTTGTGTGGGTATGTACATCTGGATAACAAGTCTTCTCTTGTGTCATTAGCCCTAGGTATATTTAATAAAACAGAGTTCCTGAATTTCAGAGTTCAGAACTAGAATCTGGAGTGTAGAGACCAGCTGATGATAACTTTCTAAGTCTGCTGTCCTGTTGTTTGTATCACTTGGACTTGAACTCTTCTTTAGAATGTTCAAATGCTGACCATGACACTGAAAAATCTCAGACATTCTGAATGTCATGTTCAACTTGTACTTTTGTGCCTGGCTCTCAATATAGAGTTCACAAAGCCCTTGTAATAGGAGTCATGGAGACTGTTTGCTGAGACCAACGCATGATTAGAAGGCTGAATTTCCATTCAGTAGCTTTCCTCCCCAGCCACCTTCAGAGAGAGAAAGGTGAAAGACTACGGCTCGGGACTAAACTAATTACCAACAGTGATTTAAACAATTCTGGAGTTACAAACAGTTGTGAGTTACCATGTGGATGCTGGGAATGAACCCTGGTCCTCTGGAAGAGCAGCAGTGCTCTTAACCACTGAGCCATCTCGCCAGCCCCCTGTATTCTTTCTTGACTTGTTAGCAACAACTTGTTCTCTTACATTTTTGATTTTGCTAAGATATGTACAACAGTTATAATGCTTGATTTTCTACTGATACTATTCTACTCTGTGTAGAACATAAAACCTTACACATTTCCTTTTCTCCTTCCTGCTTGAATGATGTCTTCTAACTTTTCCTTTAGTACTCACCCTTAGACATGCCCGAAAAAGTCATTATCACTGTAGTTCTTTTGTTAGTTTTTTTTTTGTGATAGGGTTTCTCTGTGTAATAGTCCTGTATATCCTGGAACTTGCTCTGTAGAGCAGGCTGGCCTGGAAGTCACAGATATCCCCCTGCCTCTACCTCCTGAGTGCTGGGATTAAAGGTGTGTGCCAACCCTGCGCAGGATCACTGTAGTTCTTGAAAGATATATTTACTGGGCACTCAATTCTAGGTTAACAGCTCTTGCTTCAATACTTCAGATCCTCCCTCTCTCTCTTTTTAAAGACAGCATCTAGGGTCTTCAATGCTATTCACATGGGTGCCACATGAAGTCAGTTAGTCGTACGATCTTTTTTTTTTTTAATGCTTTATTTGGATTGTGTTTTGTTGTTGTTTTGTGTATGTGCCGAAGGTGCATATGGTAGAGGTTGGAGGACATCTTTGTGGAGTCCTTTATCTTCTTTCACTTTCCCTGAGTTTCAGGGATTGAGCTCACAAGACACCAGGGTTGGGTAGCAAACACCTTTCCCAGCTGAGCCATTTCAGTTTAAATCCACTAATCTTTCTTCTTCAAGGTCTAATCTAATGTTAATCCTATTGACTGCATTTCTCTCATATTTTTCATGTTTATAAGTTCAACTGTAAGCCATTTAAAAATCTTCATGGTATTTATTAAACATGTGCAAACTTTCCCCAAACTTTTTGAATATATAAAACAGAATGTTTATAATTGCCTCAATGTTTTTGTCTGTATCTTTTTGGATGACTGAGTTTTCATTTCTGTATGAATTCAAGGTCTTGTCTGTGAGTTTGTTGACTGGATACTGGGCATTCTGACTTTTACCTCTGGATGCTGGATATTTCTATAAACATTTTTGAGCTTTTTCTCATGTGCTATTAGGTCACTTGGAGACCTTTGATGGGTTAATCACTTCCTGCACTGCTGCTGATCTCTGTCAGTACTCTCTCTACCTGGTGCTCTTGAGGTCCAGCTTGGCTGGAGAGTTCAGGTGTTGTGTGACTCAACTGAGCACCAGCACTAGACCTCCTCTCCTTTGGCGGGGGGGTGGTCCCTGCTCAACCCATAGTGGCTTCCTTCTGTACCTGTCTAAGTCCCTCCAAATTCAGTTTTTAAAGTAGCAATAACACTTGTGTAAAAGGTAGCAAATAATAAACAGCAGACTGGTAGTTGCTGTGAAGGATACACATGCAGTAAAGTACAAATTCCTGACCTCAAGGAAGCACACAACCTGTTTAAAAAAGAAATGCTGACCAAGTTGGGCATGGTGGCACATATCTGAAAACAGATTGGAGAGGCAGAGGCAGGGAGATTAGGAAGGAGTTCAAGCCTACCCCTGGCTACATAGTGATTCTGAGGTCAGCCTTGGCTACATAAGATCTTGCCTCAAAAATCAAATGAAAAAAACTGTCATGTTAGCCGTTTCAACACATCCTCAGCACAGATGGGCAAAGCTCACTGGTGCTGCACCCAGATGCATGGGACTACCAGATTTCACTGCAGCCCACACATGTGTGCTTCCTCTCAGTCTTCTCCCTCCAACAAAGTCTGTTTCAAGAACTTCTCACCTTTCGGACATGACAGGAGAAGAGGACGTTCATATATTTGTCCTTACGTTTCAGTTCATTAGCGACTGGCACGAAAGTGCCTGAGGTCTGGGGTGTATCTGACTTCTGAAAGAACAAAAGAACAACAGGAGAACTCTTAGACTGTAGGTGCTAGGCAACGGTTTAGTATATTGCGTTAGAACTATACCTATACAAATTCCCAGCATTCCTTTTACCTTCTCCCCCAGATGTTAGATTAGTAAAGGGTGCACCATATTAAAGGTCCCATTAAAGACTTTAAATCAGAGAAGATGAAATAGAGCTTTGGGAATAATATAAAGGATGTAATTAAAAATGGCTGCTGAAGCCGGGTGGGGTAGCATAACTTTAATCCCAGCACTCATGAGACAGAGGCAGGTGGATCTCTGTGAGTCTGAGGCTAGTCTGGTCTACAGGAAAGCCAGAGCTATGTAGAGAGACCCTGTCTTAAAAAAAATGGCTGCTGAATAATTCAAGGGAATGTTGAAGTGGTAAAGGGCCAGGTTATGGAATATGCTAATATATGTGGATACAACCCTCTTTTCAGTAGATGATGCATCAGGTAATGTATATTTAAAAGCAACAAAACCTTCTAATTTAGTACCTCTCAGAGAAATTATTTAGTTTCTTAAAACATCTCTCTGTAAGGTATTGATTTTGTCTTATACTGTTGGGGCTGGAACCCAGGCCTCTAGCATCCAACCTCTTTTCTGTAAATTCTTAGGGCAACAAACTTTGCACAGCTGCATGAATCCACACTGTTCTTCTGGACTTACCGAGGCAAGATAGTTGCCTTCCCAGGCCCTCTGGAGCCCAAGGTCTGCCCTTTGACCTTTCAACATTTCCATGGCTGCAACCTTTGCTCTGACCTGGGGAAGGTCTGAAGCAGGTATGGTCTTGATGAGTTGGGATGCTCTCCATCTACAAGCAAATAAGATATATAGGCCTTAGATACTCATTCACTCCCCAAAGGGTTTCAAACTGTCATTAAGTAGCATGAAATAATTGTATGCTATGCTAAAGGGATAAAATGATTATAAAAGATATATGGAAGTTGGCAAAACAGTTTTCTGTAGATAGAAATTTGTAGCAACTTCTTTATTGTCTGTGTGCTCTGAAGTGACTAGAACTCAGTGGCTTCCAGCTTTTACAATACTAGTTGGGCACAAAGCAACCAGACATCCTAAATACATTGAAGTCCAAACCTTCCTGACTACAACTCAAACAACAAGATCTGTGTAAAATTGAAGATCTCAACAGTCTGAAATCACACTTCTGGTCCCAAGCATTTTCAATATGAGACACTAAACCTGTGTTAATTGGTAGTGTAGGGAAAAGGGACCAGCTAAAGAAACACACCCTGAGCTAAGCCAAAGAAACACACTTTGGCCCGGCAACCAGAACCAAAGAAATGCACCCTGACCCTGAAACCAGTGCCAAAGAAACACACTTTGTCCCTGGAATGAGAGCCAATGAATGAGATACACCTTGGTCTTAAAACTAGAGCCAAAAGGCTAAAAACGACATGAGAAGGAAACACACTTTGGCCCTGAAAACAGAGCCAAATCTGACCCTAAGCCTGTGCAGAAAACTAGCCAATCCTTGAGCAGGAGCTCTAGCCAGTCTGAGCTCAGCATTGAAATCTGACCAATGCCCACCCTGGAAACCCTATATAAAACCTGTGTCTGCTCAGCTTGTGGTTGTTTGTGCTACCTGGCTGTCCCCTGCAACCCTCCTGGATTCTTCCCTCCCAATAAATCCCTTGGATGAGCTTTGGGTGAAGACCTTCTTTTGCTGTGGAGCAGAGACAACCCTGGGCAGAGCAGAGCGAACGGTGCTGTAACATTTTTGCCTGAGAAACCTTCCCCTGGCAGAGCTGAGTTGTTACACTTGGCTTTCCACTCTCTCGGGAACAGAGCTGAACTGTAGCAACTTTGCCCCTGGAAACCTTCTCCTGCAGGAGCAAAACTGCTACACTGGGCAAACATGCCCAGCTGGAAGACCCTCTCATGCGGGAGCAGAGCCGATACATTGGGGAAGCCTTTCCCTGAGGCAGGGGTGTAAGCTACTATGCTTACTGTGGCTTATGGTATTGCTTGGCTACCAAGCTCTAGGATACCTTTCCATTTGAGCTGTGTAACACTCAGTATTCTGTGACTCCCGAGTGGCAGAATACCTGTCCCATCCGATCCGTCCAAAATGCCTACAGGTAGGCCACAGAAACATGGATTCTTCATTCATCCAACAGTGTCCTAGGTACCATGAAAGTACATGAAAGTACAGGTCCTGTTCTATGTAGGGGAAGCACTGCTAAAAGGAAAATAGTCGAGAGAACTTTCTTCCAGGTGCTTTTAGGATTAACAGACAATAAAAAAAAATACATGCAGATGTGTGATGGGGATTGGATATTTGCTGTGGAGAGAAACAACAAGGAAAGAGGGCAAAGAGGGCCTTGGAAGGAAGACATGGGTATGGTGGTGTTTACTTGAGTGGCTAGGGAGGGTCTTTGGACAAAAAATTACTGTGAGGAAAGGAATGATCCTAACAGAATAAAAAGAATCAGGCATGATGGCACATGCCCACAGTTCATTACTTAGGACGATCAGAAAATCAAGGTCATCCTTGGCTACAGAATGGAGTTTAAGGATAGTTCAGGTTATATGAGACCCTGTCTCAAAACAAAACAAATAAAGCAGAGAAAACAAAGTAACACAAATGGAGATTCCAGAAAGACAAAAACAAACCCAACAATAACATTGGAATCCCTTAACACACATCCCATAGAATCCCACAGAAGAAATTTTTTAAGATAAGGGGTTCATAAACTACAGCTTGTTTCAAATCTGGCTTGAGGTCTGTTTTTAAACTGCTTGTGAGTTAAGAAGAGTCTTTACATTTTTACATGTTTAACAAAACAAAGAATATGTGAGAGACCATATGTAGCCTGCATAGCCTAAAATACTACAGGCCCTTTACAGAAAAAGTTTGCCTGACTAGATGAATACAAATGGCAAGAATCATTCAGAGAGCTGGAGAGCGGGAGAGAGGAGAAGAACAAACAGTATTTTCATGTATTCATCAACTATGACCCTTGTGAGGAGGCTGGAACTGTCGGTCCCATTCTTCCCAATTGTCACTGTATCCCTGGAAGCCTGGCTAGTGCCTACAAAACACCAGGTGTTCAGTAAATATTTGCTGGATGAGCAAATTCAATTTTATAGAAATTAATCAGTTCTAGACTTAAAATAAAACACCAAATCTAAAAAGAGGCCGGCTCAGGCCAGAGTACAATATGAAATTAATCACTATCATTTGCAGTCATCACAAATATTGAACAGGGGGTATAAATTGGTGCAGCTACTATGGAAATCAGTGTGGAAGTTTTCCAAAATAGAACTACCAGATGAACTAGCTGTGTCACTCCTGGGCATTCACCCAAAGGATTCCACATCTGACTACAGAGATACTCGCATATCCATGTGCAGTGCTTACAACAGTTAGGAAATGGAATCTAACTAGATGTTCAACAACTCATGGATACTGAAGATGTGGCTCTCTCTCTCTCTCTCTCTCTCTCTCTCTCTCTCATACCAGGATTTTATTCAACTACAAAAAAAGTGAAATTTAAGTCTGCAGGAAAATGGATGGAACTGGAAAATATTACACTAAGTGAGAACGAAGACTCAGAAAGGCAAATGTCCATGTTATTTTTCATATCTGGATCCTAACTTTAAATTCTTAGATTTATATATTTAACATGGCGTGTCTGTAGAGGTGAGGAAGCCAGAAAAGACTGTGGTGAGGGAGGCTTTAATGGGGAGAGGTAAGTAGGAGAATACATGGGACATGAAAAAAGAGGGGACATACTAGGGGCAAAAGGCTTAAATGGGGGATGGGAGAGTGGACTGGGCTAACAAAAATTAAGGATATATATAAAAAGAGCAATGGAAATGCACTACTTTGTAAGATAATTTAAAAAATATAATAGAAAGTGAATTTTCATGAAGGTGCCCTATAGGTGTAGAAATGCTACTCACAGAGGACATGTATTAGCAAGTGAAACTTCAGTGCCAGGTGCCAGGTATGGGATGCCTCCACATGATTTATCAGTCAAGGAGGTTCCACGCCTCCCCCATCAATAACACAGGATATTGCTGTTTCTCAAGGTTGCCCACCCCAAGTAGCTGGTGATCCTACTGCTGAAGACACTATACATTGGTTGTAGGACATAGAGACATGAATTTGGAACTGACTGAGAAACTTCCTTTTATAGTGCTAGAAGGTACTATGCAGGCCACTGGGGAGAAAAGATATCAATGGTCTTACCCAGTGTGGGAACCTACATGCCATAATACTAATCTGCTAGGCAAAATCTGTCCACTAATCCAAAAATGGCATTGACTATTATGGAGGCAACCAACCACTTTCTGATTGGATTTGAGGCATTCTCCACAGGAGAGAATTTATGACTACCACTGTTACACTTGATCAAAAGTCCATGATTGGGGAGGTAATAGAACCTAGAGGGGAACCCACTATTGTTTTCCTAAATGGTCTTGTTGTCAAATTGCTTTCTAAATATGTTTATACTCAAGATTTGTGTTGTTTTCAACTTCAGCTATAGAAATTTCTTTTTGCAGTGGAGAGTGGCTAATGCAGGCATTTATAACTGGTCAAGGTATGAAGATAAGTGACACTGAATGTAGGTCCTAAATGGGACATCTATATTACTCCCTCCCCACAAGGCTCAGGGAATTCTATGAAAGAAAGAGTGGAAAGAACATGGGAACTGAAGGATGAGGAAGAGTGCTGTGACATGCTGTTTTCTGGACATGACAGGGCCATTGTGTTTATGAACTCAGACCTGCACAGTATCAAGCCAGTCAAAATTCCATTGTGAATGTGGCAGGGGCTCATGAGGTCTTACCCCTAGCTAAGGGGCTACTGGTAGCTGAAGGCTATAACACATAAATCATGATGAGTACCTGTAATCACAGCACCTGTAAGCCTAGTCTGATATATGTGAGGTATACACACACACACACACACACACACACACACACACACACACACACACACAAGTTAACTAATTTTTTCCAAAGTTAAACAGCCAGTGTGGAGAGAGCCAAAATATAAACTGGGTTCTGGGGTCTATATTCCTTATCCCTCTATAGGGCTGCCTTTTAGTGTGTTTGTGTTTGTGTGTGTGTGTGTGTGTGTGTGTGTGTGTGTGCATGTGCACACTTGCACTCAAAAAGTAATAGGCAGAAGATTAGAAGGATATTAACAATATTCCTAGAGTGATTATCTCAGAAGAAGAAAAATAGGAGTGAATAGTACGGTGGATTTAGATTTTATATATAAGCATATTTCTCACTTAGAAACAATGAGTATGAATTTAAAAACAAATTAAGTACCTTTAAAATATGTAAGACATATAGACAGTAGATAGTGTTACTAAAAATCTTATCTGCATGTGAAAAAAGCTTGTCAAGGTTGAAAATTAATACTTTCAACATTGTATCTGACAACTGAGGGTTGCTTTCTTTGCTTTCACTAATTTTATATTGTATGTTCTCTTTATTGCTGCTCCCTGCTTTGTGGCACTGGGGATTGGATTATTGAATCTAGGATTTGTGAGAGCTAGGCAAGTACTCTACCACCTAGCCATGCCTCCAGCTCTCTTTTTACGTTTTGAGGTAGGGTCTAAGTTACCCAGGAAGTTGAGATTCTCCTACTCCAACCTCCTAAGCAGTTACGGCTGTGGGCCTGCATCAACAGGTCTGCATCTTATGGTTTTTATAAAGTGTAAATGAGATACATATTCATGAGTTTCCTGTCATGTGACTTCTCTATCTTTGGATATAGTGTATTAATAGAGTCGACTCTAATGAAGACAAAAATCTGATTTATCATACAAT